ACATTACTGAAACTTTCATGAAGCCACAAAGATCCCAAATAGCAAAACAATCCCTAGACAAACAAAGAAATATGGAGGCATCTCACTACTTGACTTTAAATTATATTTCAAGCTATGGTAACCAAAAGTATTATGCGAAATCAGAATAAACACAGATCAATAGAGCAGAACTGAAAGCCCACGTTCGAGAATGATGGCATTCTATTTCTTTTAAGGGTAAGTCACTGAATCTATGATCACTGTTGTTTGTATCAGATTTGGGCTTGTCCAATTTTTTGTCTTATTATGACATCTCATTCCTACTTTGACAAACTTGCAGGCTATCGAATGTAGCCTGCCCACACAGCAGAGTCTGGCAAACTCCCCGTGGCGTACCAAATATGCCAAATACCAGTAACAATGATGGGTCTCATTCTCCTAAAGAGCCTAGAATATAATCTCAGGGCTAGGATGAAGGAGATGTTACTGGGGCCTGCTCGAGGCAATCGACGAATAACAGGATGATTTGTGATTTGTGATTTTGTGATTTGAATATTCTCAATTTATTACTAATAGTTCTGGGTTTGTTATTATGACTTGAAAGTTCTTCCTTATACTGGGTTTTATAAATATTGCCTATTTTACATTACTAATTTTGTTAGTAAAGCTTATTTAAAATGCAGAGTCCAGAATTAAATGACAGATTAAGACAGAGGAAATAAGGGAAAGGACATTTTCTTTAACAAATGGTTTTGAGAAAATTGGATAACCACATAAAAAACAATGAAAAATGGTCATTATATCAAAGCATCCACAACGTTAAAATGGATTATAGACTTGAATGTTATACTTGAGACCATGAAATACACACTGGAGTAAACATAGGTAAAAATCACTCCATGATATTGGATTCTATGATGTTTTTCAGAGATAAAAATCCATAACAAGGGAAACTGAAGCAAAAATAAGAAATATAATTATATCAAATTAAGAAATTCTGAGGGCAGCGAGATAGCACAGTGGGGAAGGTGCTTGGCTTGCACAGGGTCGACCCAGGTTCAATGCCTGACACTGACAGGTGTGATCCTTAAGCACAGAGCCGAGAGTAACCCCTAAGCAAGGCCAGGTGCAGCCTAAGAACTGAGAAACAAACAAGCTAAATTCTGAGAAATAAAAGAAAGTATCATTTAAACAAAGAGACATTTTAGTGAATGGGAGGAAATGTTTGCATGTAATATGTCTGAAGAAGGGATATTATCCAAGATTATAAGGAAATGACAAAACTCAACAACAACAAAGCATAAAAAAGTGAGAAAGAGCAAATCAGACACTGATCAATGAAGACATATCAGTGGCAAACAGGTACATGAAAAAATTTCTCTCATGTAAATTAGGGAAACGCAATTAAAATTAATGGTGAGATGACTCACACCTGTGAGAATAGCCTTTATTAAAAGGGTCAGAAATATGGCTGGAGAGATAGTTCAGAGGTTATGGTACATTTACTTCATGAAGTCAAATAAAAACCATCCTGTGAACTATGACCACAGAACAGAGGTTATCAAAGAAAGAAGAAAAAGTGGAATTGCAGGGTGTATCAATAAACTGTGATGGGGGAATATGAGCACTTTGGAGGTTAATATGGTGTGGTAACATATATTTAGGAGAGATATGAAATTATACTCCTAAAATATATATTTTATAAACCAACGTTACTTTAAAAAAAGATGGGGAAAATGGATCCTATACCTAAATATAAAATTCAAAAGTATATCTGTCACTGTCTTCCCATTGTTCATCGATTTGCTTGAGCGGGCCCAGTAACATTGTGAGACTTATTACTGTGTTTGGCATATCAAATATGTTGTTTGTGCGGTAGGTAGCACGTCAGTCTCAAAAGTATGGCAGGAGAAGAAAATCTATATGACCTTGGGTATGGTGAGATATTTTTAGATACAACACCAAATACTGCCCATCAAAATATAGCATACTGGCATTCATTAAAATTAAAAAATGTTTTTGGAAGCTACATGATACCAGAAATATAAAATATCCGGAGAGTTTACTATGAAAAGTTTTGTCTCCAAGATAGATAGTCTCAAAAAATTCAATGAATTCTGAAGTCATATAAGGCAACCAGAACTGAATGGGAAGAGAAAACCCAAACAGATCAATTACTAGTAAGAAAATCAAGTCAATTAAAAAAAAAATCTCTCCCAAATCAAAACCCCAAATCAATGGGATTTCTGATTTCCTCTAAAACTATAATGAGACCAATCCTTCTCAACCTCTTACAGAAAATCAAATAACAGAAATTCTTCAATGTAATGTCTTTGAAGCCAATATTACCTTAAGACCAACAGCAAAACAATGAAACAAAACACAGTGAGTTCATTCTCCTCAATATCACTATTGTTGGAGAAATGCAAATTTAACTCGTAATTAGCTCTCATTTCACACGGGATGTAATGGTGATCTTCAAAAAGGCGAAAGACAAGATGGCGGGTGGATGTTGAGAAAAGTGAACCCTGCACACTATTGGGAGTATAAACTGGTACAGCCACTATGGAAAACACCTGAAAGACCTTCAAAAAGTCAAAAGTAGCCAGATGATACAGCATTTTCACTTTGGGGACTATAGCCTAAGAGGGAGAGCAGTAATGTGCATATACATACTTTATTTTTATATTATCATATTTAATATATGTTATGTTTATTATAATTATATTTATATTATAATATATCATATTGATATATCACAAATATATATGATATCACGGTCACGGTCACCCTGTCGTTCATCAATTTGCTTGAGTGGGCCCAGTAACATTGTGAGACTTGTTACTGTGTTTGGCATATCAAATACATCACGGGGAGCTTGCCAGGCTTTGCTGTGCGGGCGAGATACTCTCAGTAGCTTGCTGGGCTCTCCGAAAGGGGCAGAGGAATCGAACTCGGGTCGGCCATGTTGGCTGCGTGCAAGGCAAACGCCCTACCTGCTGTGCTATTGCTTCAGCCCATATATGATATATCATATATAATAATAAATTGTAATATAAAATGAATATACACTATATGGCCCTCCCATTGATCATCGATTTGCTCGAGCGGGCCCAGTAACGTCTCCATTGGAGACTTTGTTGTTACTGTGTTTGGCATATCAAATACGTCACGGGGAGTTTGCCAGGCTCTGCCATGCGGGCAAGATACACTATATACACATTTATATTATAAATTATATATGTTTTATATGTATCTTAGGTAAAAATATATAACATATATACATATCCATATATAGATATATATACATTATCTGTTGGAATTTGTAGAAAAAATGTTATTAGACCACATACAAGAGTTTAAGAAATTTGGAGAATGAAAAATCATTTTTTAAAAATCAACTGTATTTCTATATACAACAATAAACAAAGTAAAACCCTTTAAAATACCAATTATAATAGAATTAAAAAGAAATATGTGACAATATATAATAGAGAAATATGTGACAATATGAAATAAAGATGACAAAAGATGTACATATCCTTCAGACTCCTCATTTGGCCACCCTCCAGAACTCACAGATGCTTCTCCCAAAAGGGAGCATAAAATGAGGCCCCCATAACCATGCCACTGGACTCCGTGCCAGGCTGTTTTCACTTAGGGCACCCCAGAAGGGAGCGGGTGAGGGACCCAACCCCACAGCCAACTTCCACTACCCAAATGCTGCCCCGCTCCAGGCCACTTTCCACACACTCAAACCGAGGCTCACATATGAGTGAACATATTCCTAGGTCACACTGCCATTTCCGCGGCACATCTTAAGACACTCCCTACCCATTTTCCATAATTACCACACCATATTTGATGGGGTTCCAACAGTAGGCAACAAATCATAGAGGGAATTATAGATATATGCCTCTCAGAAGCCTGGCAAGCTACCTAGAGTATCCGACCCGCACGGCAGAGCTGGGCAAGTTACCTGTGGCATATTCAATATGTCAAAAACAGTAACAATAATGGGTCTCTTTCCCCTGACCCTAAAAGAGCCTCCAATATAGCAGCATTGGGAAAGACGAGTAAGGAGAGGCTGCTAAAATCTCAGGGCTGGGACAAATTTTAATCAAACCAAATAGTTATTATTTACATGTGGTGCAGTGGGTCTCTGACTTCTCCTTACTCCTAATAAAATTTTGCCTAAGCTAATAGTTTTGTTTATCCCATGCCCCATTCCCTAAAAGCACAACAGATTTTTAATAATATCTTCTAGTGGTGAATGTACATAGTATGTGCTGATGAACACCTGAAATAGATAATTCTCTAATGCACTCTTAGATGTTTTAAAAAGTATTTCTATAAAACAAGACCATCTCTTTAACTTTCTTGGGAAATATTTCTAACATACACAGGAAAGTAAGAAAGTATTTATAATGAATTCCAACGTTCTGCCATTCAGCTTTTCAAAGTCCTAAGCCTATACCATATTTACCTCCACTTTGCATAGCCTTTAACTCAAATACGAATTTACTGGATGAGAGAGATTCAATCACCAGCAAACATGAACAGGTTTCCTTATTTTTCACATTTCATATATTTTAGGAACAATTCCCGGAGCATCTCTGAGACTTTCAGGTGGTACTATGGCAAGGCACAAATAAAATGTAGGCGACTGGGCTGCCATCAAACTAATTACACAGTTCCCCTGAAATGATCTGTTAATACATTGATGCCATGCAAATTAGGTCATACCCACAGGTCTTAGATTTGGAAAACGTTCTGTGACAAAGTATGAATTTTAATAAGTATGATAATCAACGTTTACAGTCCTCATACTATTTTTCTTTAGTATTCCAATGCTTATTGCCACTTTGACATTGAGAAATATAGGGGAGGTTAGTCATTTCCCCAGATCAGATACACTTTCAAAAGCAGAAAGCATGCCACCAGTTTCTAGAAACAAAAATTTTCTTTTTTAAGTGGTTATATACATCTGTAAAGTCTAAAAACATTGATTTAGATCACACCTGCCAAAACAAACTGTGCGCATCTCCTCGGAGAAGTTCAACTGTGTCTCCCGCCTGGATGTGTAAGGGGGGTCCTTCATGAAGAGCTGGGGGTGGTGTTCCGGAGTAGTTTCTAATAGCCTGCATCTTTGGTAACCCTAAAAACAAACAGCACACCTTTTAGAGTTGTATGAAGTCCAAACATACTTTAGAAAAAGAACACATTTCATTAGCATAGAAATTTTAATACTGCCAGGCAGAAGTAAACATCTGAAGTCAAAACAATGGAATGCTTTTCAACTTTCTCATTATTTCAGATAGTAATGAAATAAGACGCACATTTATCCCCTGACTCCTTACATAATTTCTCTCTCGCTCACCATCAATCTCTTTTTCAGCTGAAAAAATATTTCCTTTTCAGTTGATGCCTGCTTCATAAAAAACACATCACGTACAGTTTAATGGAAAAGAATCAATTTTTTCATCAACTCTATCCTTTCTGCCTATTACTTTCCTCTTGGGCATTGGCTGATTTCATCACTAAGGAGGCTCACCCTTTCTGTGTATGCATCACATTGGCCAGTATAAGTCTCATATCTTAAGGTTATCTTTGTAATTTGAAAGCAAAAAAGGTGATGGATGTGCCACTGCAATATTTAAGACATTTATATGGAGAAATTCTTCAGGCTCAAATTTAGCCTTGCAAAACAGACCCAATAAAGGGAACATGTCTAAGCCAATCACTTCAACAAATACTTGAAATACAGATCCATTCCTTTTCTTTGTATTTCTTTGAATGTGCAATGAAGGTCTCAGTTCAATATTTCATTCTTGAAATCAGAAGCTTCAACTGCACACAGACCTAATTGCACTGACACTGATCGTAATTGGACAGTCTTACAGTCATCTGTCCATTCAGAGGTGAAATTATCTCCTCCTACAAGGAGAGATCACTCATAAATACTTTTCTTGAACACTGACTTAAATTATTATTTACTATCTTTCAAGACTTTTTATTCTAATGATTGACCATGGTGAAGCTATAACTGTTGGAAAGTTTTGCACTAAATATTGCAAAGAGGAGGTATGGCTCTCATTCAGTTTTGCAGTCCAAGCTACTGTAGAGAAGACTTCAAGGACTAGAGAGATAGTACAGTGGTTAAGATGTATGCAGCTGACCCAAATTTGATCCCCAGGACTGTATATGGTTCCTCAAGAACTTCTAGGAGTGATCCTTGAGCAAAGAGCCAGAAGTAAGTCATAAACACAGCTGTGTGAGGCTCCCACAACAAAGAAGAATGAAAAATAAATTTTAAAAAACTCCAACACTGAACAGTCTACAAGAACGGCCCTTGCAAATAGCTTAGTCTAGTTCTGACAATCTTTTTACAAAGGAAAGAAAACAAGTACTGCTATGAAAGAAATGAAAACTTCTAGTCAATACCTTCTCATCAATCCAGTCCTTCCAAGGCAGAAGGGTGAAAAAAACAGTGTAACCTTCACCCTGGTTTAGTAGCTGCAATAGCTGAGGCACGTTCTCAGTTGCTACATCTCCCCTTTGCTTCAGTTCTTGGGCCACAGAACCCCTGGAGGGATGACTTTAATCCTACATCTTTTATGCAGCATTTCTCTGCCAGATGTTATAAGGTTATATGTTATACACAGACAGCAGACTCAACCCACCACCTCTCCCTGCAACAATCTCAGATGAATCTCAGCAATATGACTATTTGATGAGTTCTTAACGTAAATATCTAGAATTTAGAAAGTCTTTATTTTTTTACTTTAGAGTGTGTTTCTTTTATTAAAACTGAATCCCACAGGCTGGGGAAGAGAGTTCAAAGGGGCTGGAGCACATTCCTGGCAGATGCAGAGGATGTTGGATGGACCCCAGCACTGCATGGCCACCTGAACACCACCAAGTACAGAGCTGGTGGCTTCCAACACTGCTTGGAGGCTTAAAATCAGACTCAAAAGTTAGGAGATAGTTTAGAGGGCTGCAGAGCAGGCTTAGCATATGAAAGGACTGGACCTGGTACCCAGGATCCCCCAGGCACTACTGGATGTGGCCACAAATCACATAGGCAAAAAAAGCCTAAACTCAAAGCAGAATCTAAGAGCTCATTCACAACTGATTTAGAAGCCCAATATGTAGAAGAGGCAGCAATCAACACTAGACTTGTTCAACCGAGTCCTATTTCTTGTGCAGGAGCCAGAGTGGCAGTCAGTCTTGGTTTTCACAAGCACTTCTAGAGCAAGGAAAACACTTCATTTAGCAAATCCTCTTGATATTTTTCATTTTTCATATCTATTTTAAAAGGAAAGACAAAGGTGAGAAATAGGAGTCTTGAATCCTACACGAGAGCGTGTGGCCTTACAGAGTGGAAAGAGTCCAATATTGACAAGTGACCAGGACCCCTCTGCAGCCGTCTTTGTGGCCATGATTCATGGGGTTAATAAGTAGCAGGGCCATGGGACAGGGGTGGAAGCAGCAATTCTCATATTGCTGAGATACCCAAGTCGGTCGTTTCCAAGATAAAATGATTATGAATAAAGATTAAAATATTCTTAAGGATTAAAATACAGTTCACCTGGAGTATCAGACATGGAGGAATGATGCCTTCTCTTTTGTTTGTGCTGGGGTGGGAGAGAGGGGTGGGAGCTTCCCCCACAAGGCAATTACAGTGATATCTGGGCAACCAAAGATGGACAGTTCATTCCTCAAGCCCAGTGAAATGGTGCTTGCAGCCATCAGAACAACTCAGCAGTACTTGAAAGCTATATGTGATACTTGAGCTAGCATGGAGTATCAGGAATTGAACATGGGTCCCTGGTCATGCAAAGTAGCACACCTGACCACGTACTCTGCTTATCCTTTTAGATGAATGGGGATAGCCAAAAAAAAAAAACTGGACTAGTAAGATTACTTACTTAAAACAGAAAGCAGTGCATACACTAATATATATTGGACAAGAAGTAAGACCTAAGTAATGCTAGACTTCTATAGAGCTTGTTTATGTAACATTTCAGAAAAAGTAAACATTATGTAAGCTCAAACGAAGGACTAAGTGTGTCTGGAAAAGTAAACTTGGCTTTCAGAGTCTGGCACATTTCTAATTTTCTCATTTACTGTATTTTTTTTCTATTAATGCATTCTTCTGGGTTTTATGTCTTATTTGACCAGTAGTCAAACTCATAGGGCATGCTACTCACCTCATTCCTAAGCAAAACTGTGAGACCTCTGCTAAGAATTATGGTTGAGGTCAGGTGAAAACCAAGAGAATATTGCTATTATCCTGAAATTCAGTCATTAATGATGTTCAAAATATAATGGGTTGACCTGCATGCTTTTCTTGTGGGGCAAGTTATGAATTTATGTTTTTGCTATTTATAGGATAATTTTTGAATATTATTATTTGACTCATTATTTTTCAATTTATTAGTATTTTTCATGTCATGATGGTCTTTGGGCAGGGCTATCAGGATAAAAGAATAAGAAGAATGAAGCAAGGTCACACTGACATGATGAACTTAATAATCCTGCGCAGAATACTTGCATTCCGTAGGAATTCTACAATTCTTTTGGGATGAATGGTCGCTTTCCAAAATATCCCTTTAACTGTCTTACTTTAACAAAAAGAGACATTGTTAAGAATATAAAAAAAACCCACATTAAAGATAAAAATGCAATTAAAGTAAGAAGAGAGAGTAGGTTAAACTTCATGTCAGGACTTAACCATCAATAGAACTGTTAATACAACCTATTGCCAAGCAGGTATCACATCTCATAAATGAGTTCAAGAATTAGATTTACAGGTGTTCAGATTTTAAATGGCCATTTAGTGTGGATCCAGTGCAGTTTTTTCTCTCCCCTTATAAAAGAGCAGGTTTTGGTTTTGTTTTAAAATATCCAGGACAGAACATTCACTCCACATCTTCACGGCAACTCAGTCATTACTGCATGTAGGGCGTTCTTTTTCCATGCAATTTATTAACTGGGCTTATGTGAAATTCACTTACATCTCTCAGCACTACTCTTTTCATTGACCTGCTTCTTTCCATTGAGAATATACTAAAGGATTTTCTTTTGTTTTTAGGCTGGACTTATAAAATTTGTTGAGACTTAAAATCCTTAGTTCCTTAACAGATTCCTATTCATATTTTTTTATCAGCCATTTGTATTTCAAGAAATTCTCAAATGTACATCAGCACACATGACAAAGGAGAAGTTCAGTGTTGGAACATTAATTCCCCTAACAACTTCTCCATTTCTTCACTGACCAATGAGGAACAGAGAAGCAAGAAGTATTCTAGGCAAAAGTCCCTGACTTTCAGTCAGGTGAATGAAGAATGTCTCTGCACTCAGATGCACAGCAGAGGGAGAGTGAAGAATGGTGCTTAAGAAAAGGAAAAGGAAAAGATGGCATCCACCAGCCCCTGTGGAGTGTATTCCAGCAGAGACAGGGCATTCACAAACTGCATAATCTGGTTGCTTGCTGTGAAAGCTGAGGCAAGTTACAGATTTATCAAAATGGACATCAGCATGATTTTACCTACCACCGTTATGTAAACACATTGGTCTAGCATTACAGATTCATGACTCATCTTGGAAGAGATGCAACACAAGCTGCTAAAATTCTTGGTACACATGTCTCATGGCTGAAAACTCTGGGGCATCCTTAGCAGGAGGGCAAACCCAGTCCCTGCCCCGCCAAAGCACCCACACTCCATAGCCACCACCATGTCACTGCTTCATAACTGATCTCTGCAGGGACCCCAAGCTGTAAAAATTCTAGGTACATGGGTTTTCAGGTTGAAAACCCTGGGGTCTTCTTGAAGCAGGGGTAAGAAGCCTTTCACCATCCTCCACCCTACTTCCAGAAGTCCCAGAAGCCACATCCACATCCCACAGTCACCCTTATGTAAACTCATGGGTCCAGATTCTACAAATTCTAGAAAATGCAGCTGCATATCGGACACCTCCGAATTCCATGATACTGACGTCCCAGTAGGAGCACACCAAATGATATGGGAAAGTTACATAGAAGCAAACTCAGCTCAATAAACAACACTAACAGGAAAGGCTGAAATAGCCACAAAGAGCTTAGTAAACCCTCAGGCAGGGACTAATTACCCCATGGTGAGAGATAACAATTTG